TTTTGATAATGATCCCAGCAACTATCCTACTTGGTATGTCATAACGCCCATGTTTCCCACCCAACAAAGGATTTCAAGTTTGTTTTGTTTATCCGCCCAAGACGGTTTACTGACCAAAATCTCGCCCAATACAGCCAGGGACTTGCCCAAATGTACGGGGTTATCATGGACACATGCACCACGCCTGACGGGTTGGTTGGGGGCGCAAGGGCGAAAGACCTCACGGGTACTAAGCATGGCGGCAATCTTGGCCACACGAAGTTCTCATACTAAAAGGAGGTCAACCGTTGACCACGTTTTCTTCAGTTTCGAAGGGGCTGATTTGGTTTTGGGATATGTGCCTCTGATGTCTCTACCTATTCATATAGAGGTACCCTCGCTTCTTCATCTTCATCTGTCCTACGTGCTTTCGAACGATCTTTCGCAACCATGCCATGTTCTTCCTCTCTCCAGTGTGTCGGGTCTGTCCGAGTCGTCCGTCTGTTGAAGAAGCCTTTGTGACAGTAGCGGAATGGTTATATGATTGAAAACAACCAGAAAGAAGTCGGAGAGGTTGGCTACTGTGATGTCTATAATGTCTTGGGCCGGTCATGTAAGAGTTTCTCGGGCTGTCATCTGATCCCATTGACGTTGGCAATTAGCACAGTTGTCAATCCGCAGCAAGGAAGAAGAATGATGCACAAGAAGCACTGAAACGACGAGAAGCAAAAGGGAGATGAAGTAAAACCACAAGCAAGACATGTATCACAACGAGACAAAAAGCGCCTTGGCCAAACTAAATGTATTAAGCCAGACCTGCGACGCCAGCATGTACCTCGGGGAAGGACAGAGTCAGTTGCAGGGCAGTGGGGTGTAGTCGTGGAGGAAGCAAGGACCAAGTTTCCCATATCGGGTCCATGTTGAGAACCCTGCAGAACCTTTTGGGGCTGCCTTTACATTTACTTTGGCCAAGGGGCTGTCCAAAGGATTGCAGTTACCATCATTTCCCTCGTCTTATCGCCACCCGCTTCCTGGTCCCACCTCCAACCCTGCACGAGTTTCTCAGACCCTTTAAGCCAGGTACAAGTGTCCATGATGATACCTGCATGCTGTGCAATGTTCTTGCTGTAGGTATTCACGTTGGTCAGCACGCCACCTATCTTTATTATTTTTGCCAATCAATCATTGAATCGAAGAAATTCATAGTGGCCTGCCTACCAACTATCCCAATCGCCCGGCTTGTCAACGCTAGACGCAAGCATTGGCAGGATTACTGCAGTTCCAGACATGCAATACGCCGAGTCCCATTTAGAGACCTCAATGTCCGGATCAAAGGTACGCATTTCTCTTGGCCCCTGGCGGCCAGGATGTTGATGCAAGATGCTGCGTCGATGGCCTACATGTGTACACAAAAAACATCACACGTAATCCCGAGTTAGCAAAGAACCCAGACTGGAACCACTAGTTGCGAATGAATGGAGAGCAAGAATAGGAAGAGAAAAAAAGAAAAGGGGTGGCGGGGGGGACGTTACTTGAGCTGGCTCAAAAACAACACTATCCCAAGTGTAATTACAGGACGTTTTAGAGTCCCAGCGTTTCTCAAGGCCATTACTTGAGCTGCTGCTATTAGCGGATTGCGTCGCGTTCATGGAATTCATGAAAGCTTGCACTGCCTCTTTCGGTTTGAGCGCGGTCTCGGGGTCTGCGATGATGGTGTCTACCCAATCGGCGAAAGAGAACCGCCCCTGGGTATCTCTAGGTGCGTTGGCAACGGCGGTACGGCCGGCGGTGCTAGGAGCCGCGATGACATTCTGAGAAATTAAAAGGCTGAAGACCATAGCGAAGAAAAGGGCGAAGTTAACCATGTTGGACGGGTATCCTTCGTAGGTAGGTTATAAGTGATGGTGGTAGCGGTTTCCAGTAGAGGTTAGGGAGAAAAGGAAGATTGGGACCAACGAAGGGGGGAAAAAGGGATTTTAAACTTTAAGATAAGCTTTTGCACAGCTGAGTTGTCCCGCTGAATATGAAACCTCATTGACAGGGTTCGTGCGTGGTTCTTTGACGTTTGGAAGCGACCACTATCAAGCCGTGTTTGCTTTTCCTGTCCTACCCAAATGGAAACGAACCGCGTGGCTTTCACGGAGGTCAAAGAACCACGAATCCCTTTATTCCATTTTATTGTCATAAGCACAGCTGGAGCCTCTACAGTTACTGCCGCCCTTCCTTCTTCTCTTCTTTTGTTCAAATCCCGACCCCTTCTCCACAGTCAGTTATTCTTCCACCACCTCGACAATAACCACCATCAACCGCTCCCTACGAAGTAGGATAGGATACACATCCAGAGCGTTGCCCAGATAGCAGGCATCATCGTGGACACTTGTACCTACATTTAAAGAGGAGGGCCCGTAAAACTCGTGACAGGTTTTAAGGAGTATGGTAGGAATGCGTATGGAGAACAGTTCTATGTGGACAGGTGCCGGCTGGATTGACCTGGGCCGGACGTGGAAGATCGTCGAGTGCCCGAGAGGGGGTGAGCCGCTTGCTGAGCAAGCTGTGGGAGCATCGTCGGTGGTTGGCAATGAGACTGATGATAAATTGAAGAGGGCATAGCACTTGGTCCGTCAGCAAATAGCGCTAATAAACAGCTGGTCTTGGGGTTTGTACTAACGCTTACGATCGCTGCCCCTGGGGCTGCTGAATGTCGAGCACCCTCAAAATCTGGACGACTCGCTTTGGTGCGCCACGGCAATTTACAGCGGCTGTCCCACTGTAACTTCCTGCCCAGCCATACTTGTCCCGTCTTGACGGAAAATGGCATTCCTGCACCGCGTTCGAGCGGCAATGCACGCATGATGGCACAGTCAAGAAGATACCAGTGTACGAGGAGAGCGTATCAATATGCTCATAGCATAAAGACAGCATAAAAGATGTTGTGTAATGCCTTCAACTAATCGAGTGTCTGACCAGCTTTTAATGGTCCGGGCCTCTTCGCGGTTCCCTGTCCCGCCCTTTTGCCCATCCCAGTACATCCCGAAGTCCGTCTTCAGTTCACCCCCAACACCGCATCCCCCATCCAATGGCTTCCTCCAGCGCATCTATACCCGCCCGATTGCTTGATCCAGTTAAACCCCATTGGACAAGCCCCCATCATCTTTAACTTCATCTGCATCTCTTGCTCCCTTTTCCTCCTGGCCTCTTCCTCCAGCAGCCTCTTCACAATCTTGTCCCGGGCCGCATCTGAAGCCTTCTTCGCTTCCTCTTTCAGCCGCTCGTATTCCTCTTCCTGCTCCTCCTCGGCCTTGCGGTCGCGCTGGAGCTGTTCCCAAACTGCATCACTTACTCCTGCGTCGCGCTGGGCTGCGTACTTGGAGTTGGAGTCGGCTGTTTGCTTTCGAGTCTCGACGGGAGCGGGCGCAGGCTCTTGTTCCTCCTCTTCATCTTCTGAGAATATCTCTTCGACGACACGGAATTGCCCTTGTGAGAACGAGGTAGAAGTTGCCGTAGAGATGTTGAAAGATGGTTGATTTTGCTGTGGTGGGGGCTGGAAGAACTGCTGCAAGCCATCAGGCAAGCCAGTTGGTGCGCCGGTTGCCGCTCCCGCCGCCTTGCTTCGCGAAGCTCGCTCGGTCATGACCCCTCTAAGTTCCTGCCTGACGATCTCCTCGGTGAGGACGATGTGCCCCTTGGCGAGGCCTTCCTTGCAGCGCAAAAACTCTGTTGAACATGCTCTTAGCAAGCCCCTGAACATCGCGTGCGCTGGCCCAGTTTGCTTGGGTGGTTAGCTGGTTGAAGTAAGATACCATCGATTTCTTGAAGATAGGTTTTGGGTTCGTCAGGCAGGAGAGATCAAGCTCCTTGCCTTTGGACTTGAGGACGCCTTGTTGTTTCTCAAGCAGTCTGCTCAGCAATTGAATACACTCTTCTGGGGAAAGTGCTCGGAAGTTGATGACCTCGGGGAAACGGGACGTTAAGCCAGTGTTGACTGACATCAAGCGATTGATGTCTGCCTCGTAGCCAGCGAGGATGATGATCAGCTTCTTGTAGTACCGATCTTTGGTAACCGAATCAACCAGCTCATCCATAGCCTCCTTGGCATACGGTCCGTCGGCCAATCGATAGGCCTCGTCGATGAAAAGGACTCTCCCAAGTGCCTTGTCCAAAAGACTGGTTACCTTCGGGCCGGTTTGTCCAACATACTGCCCGATCATATCAGTTGCAGAACATTCAACCACCTCAGCGGTAGACAGGAAGCCCATGTCATAAAAGACCTTGCCCATTTTCTTAGCAGTAGTAGTCTTGCCGGTACCAGGAGGCCCTCTGAAGAGGAAATTGAAGGGGATGTTCTCCTTGGGATCCATGTCAAGGGACTTGAATATTCGCACCGTCTCCTGGTAGCGCTCCAGCAAAGTGATGACATCCTCAGAGCCCACTGAACCCTCGAAAAGCTTCCGGATGTTGGTCTCCGACCTCGAAGCCCTGTCGAAGTCTGGATCAAAGTCTTGAGGTTCAAGTGTCTCCGGCTGTGCTTGCCCCTTGGAGAATCGTCGCTGATGACGAGCCTTCGTAGCATCCAGCAAGATGTCGATTTCACCGGCGTTGCCAAAGTTTGGTCGGTTCCGAGTCCGCTTCAAGATGTCCATTGCCACCGCCGTGGCCTTAGGAGTGGCCTGATAGCCTTGCTGCTTGATCTTGAGATCGAAGATCTTGCGAAGCTCCTCATCCGAGAAATCTTCGAAGTCGAACCCTGAAGCAATGGGAAAGCGGCGGGCAAGACCAGGATTGACGTTTTGGAACATTGTTTCCATCTGTTCCTTATAGCCCAGCAGCAAGACGCACCGGTCGTCACCTGGAACGCTTTGAACCTCTGCCACAATGGTGTCGATGACGGCCGTCTTGTATGGATCGGAAGTGGATCCCCCGCCGTAAAGGCCGTAGGCCTCGTCGATGACCAGAACCTTGCCCAGAGTTGCAGCGAGGATGCCTTTAGTCTGTTGTTCTGACTGCCCAAGGGCGCCGCCAACAAAGTCAGACTGATTCTTGACGACCACTGGAGACCAAATCGTTAGCGTTGAGAATGAGGTTCGGCAAAGAATTAAGAGTGCATTACCTTCACCTTTGGAAAGCAACCCGAGTGCAGCGAGGATCTCTCCATACAGTTTGGCTACCGTCGTTTTGCCAGTTCCCGGATTCCCCAGGAAGACTTTGTTGAGGGAGTACTGAATAGGTGGCTGCTCGGCTAACTCTCTCTTGTAATTCTGCTGGATGCTGTCAACAAGCGCTTTGACTGCTTCCTTGACAGACGCAAGACCAATAAGCTGCTGCAGCTTCTTCCAGGCCTGGCATTTGTTGAGGGCTTCGGCTGGTTCTGGGCCAATGAGATCCTCCTTGGTAAAGAACAAATCATCGACATTGGTCTTTCCTGCTTTGCGCTCCCGCCTGATCCTGTTTGCCTGTCTTCGGGAGATAATGTCAATGTTGTTCTCGACAGTGCGAGCATTGCCAAAGCCTTCCTTGCCTCGTCCTCGCCCAATCCGCCTGGCAATGATCCGGCAGTAAAGGCCTCGCAGTCCGTCCTCGCAGTCCATCGCGTTTTTGTACTTCTTGTTCACCTTGAGCTCGAAGATCCTTAGAAGCTCATCGTCCGTGTAGTCTGCGAAGCTCATGTCAATCGGGAACCGACTTGGAAGGCCTGGATTGTGGGCGAAGAAGCTTTCCATTTGTTTGCTGTAGCCAGCAAGGACAAAGACGAGCTTGCCTCTCAGATTTTCGACTTCGGCGAGAAGGTAGTCCAACACACTGCCACCGCCGGGGTTATTGCCAGATGTCAACTGATATGCCTCATCAATGAAGAGAACTCCTCCGCCATCGTTGAGAATCTTGTCGATCAACTTCTTGCACCCGGAAACACCGCCATGAGCGAGCCCCGCTCCGGTGGTTTCCGCAAAGTGTTTTCCTGGAATGACGCCAACGTCGGTGAGAAACTCGGCATACAATCTTGCCACAGTGGTTTTGCCTAGGAACTCTGTTAGACCAGACAGCTTTTGAAATACTGTCCTGAAGCGAAGACTTACCTGTCCCAGGGTTCCCAAGCATAGAGCAGCTAAAGCGCTCTTCAGTCAGAGAGATGCCTTGACGGACCGCAGTGTCTACCTTGGATTTGATGGAAAGAAACTCCTGTTTGACGTCTTCCAGCCCTATCATGGACATCAGTATATCCATGGGCTTGCTGAATGCATTCTCAAACTCTTTCAAATGGTTCCACTCGGCTTCAGCAGTGTCAGGAAGGTCCGCAAGGGTATCGTGTGAATCCACCACGGCTGTGGCCTGCGAATTTCTCTCTGTCCGAATTCTGGCCTTTTCAGCAACTCGAAGAGCGATCTTAATCTGCCCCTGTTGTTGCTCTTCGGCCCGGGCTCGGGATTCCTTGAGAGCTTCAAGCTCTCTCCGTCGCTGTTCTAGCGTCTGCTGCATAGCCAACTCATCTGCTTTGTACTTGTTGACCCGACGTTCGTGTTCTAGCTCATCCTGGAGGTCTTGAAGCTGCTTGTTGTACGCCACCTGTTGACGGACGCGGTCTTCTTCAAGCTTCAGATCTCGCTTGATTCGGCGCTCGTGTTCCTTGTCCTCCCGTATACAATCTCGACAGTCTTCGTCTTGTCGCACACAACGCACCTTGTTCTTGTGTTGTCTTGGGCAGACCTTCATCACCACCTCGAAACAGTCGGCTCGGCTGTGGTCCGTAACGCGGTGGCAACGAAATGTGCATTTATGCACACCACATTTGAGCAATGCATTGCTGGTAGAGAAAAGCGGGTTAGCCAGCCAATCTCTCGTCGGGAAGACGCAGAATCAAGTACATACCACGGTTGAATACAACCACCATCTGGACACGTCTTCTCAAAATCCTCTGGCTCTCGCAGTACTGCTGTTTTCTCCGGATGCCTTTCACACATGACTGGAAGACCATCGTACAAATGGCTGTGAGCCTTGAGTAACTCAAAGAACGGTCGCCACGTCGTAGCTCCCTTCTTGCTGTTCATGAATGTGTCCATGTTTCCGATCATGATCAGACAATCCCTCGCTCTTGTGATGAGGACATTGAGGCGCTCTGGAGCAGAGAGAAACCCGATATCCCCCGTATCGTTGCTTCGAGTCAGGGAGACAATGATGATGTCGCTCTCCTCGCCCTGATAGTTGTCTAATTCACTATTAGCATCACGCCAGAGGGCTGGGCTCGTGATTGAGCTTACCAATGGTTGAGATCCGGAGTGGCTTCTTGTCAACTTTTGCAGCTGCTTCAGACATCAACCCTGCGCGAATCAATTCCTTCTTGTCCATTTCGCTCAATGCTGCATCATGTTGGTGCCTTTGGAGAAGATCCCGCAAGACCCTCAACTGTCCTAGGTATGGAGTCAGGATCACGATTTGGTCTGTAGAATAACCCTGTTGGCCGAGGTATCTCAGGTAGCTTAGTATTATGTACGCTTCGTGCGAGTTCTTCTTGCTTTCCTTCATTCCTGGGTCACGGCGCTCTCGTAACGCCCTATCCGAGTCCTCTGGCTTGTTGTGGTTGACGAAATACTCGGTCCTGAAGCCTCGTACAGGCAGTCGACCACTGGTCCCTGGGCCATCCAGCAAATCCGGGTACGTGAGTTCGCGGGGAAACAAAGATATCTCGGGAACCATGCGGTGCTGCTTTCGTAGAGTGGTGTGTGGTGCTCCCTCGAGGATGAGACGTTCGAAGAGGGAGCGGTTCAGATCAAAGCCGTCACCCCTCTCTACCGACAAGGCGTAGTTGTTGATTTTAGGTCGAAGCTGTTTATGGTCACCAATCAACACGAGTTGTTTGACCGAAGATGCCAGAGCTGTGAGGACATGACTCTCCAAAATCTCTCCAGCCTCTTCCACGAGAACCACATCTGGCATAGCGGCCCGTATCAGACCCGAGTGTTTAGCTGCTGCCGTGGTGGTACATCCGATAACCATCTTTTGGCGCACGATGTGCGCGTCTGCCTCATTGAACTGCGCCTCGGTCTGTTCATGACTGTCGTTGAACTGTCGGACCTGCTCCTCAACCGTTTCAAGACGCTCCCCGATGAGTGCCTTCATCCACTTGTTCAAGTGATTCTCCCTGTCTTCTTGCTTCATATCCCAGATTGGGCTGCACTCAACAGGAATATCGTGAGTGAAGATTCCCGGGTTCTGGCCAGCGCTCCATCTCTGATATAGATAGTCCTTCTTCACCTGTTTTCGTCGCTTCCCAGAACGCTCCCCAACACGCTCCCAACCCAGTTCTTCTGGTGTAGGCACGATTAGGGCCTTGTAAAACTGAGTGTACTCGTCCGAAAATTCAAGAAATTCAGCGATTTCATCCCAGGTGACGATGGTCGTTCGATAGTTGTGAAATGCTCTTCTCAGGTCCACGATGGATCCCTTCATGGCTTCTCGCAGCTTGTTTATGATGGTCCATGCATCTCGCGAACGTCGATAGTTGCCTTGCTGCTTGGCAAGGAGGAGAGCCTCGGTTCTTGGGGTACATTTGCTCCATGCGCCTAAACGCACAATGTCATCTTCTGGAATATGGGCGTTATCGATGAGATCTTCGAGGAACTGATCCAGGGCATGGTTGGTGAAGCTAATCACAAGAATCCTTTGTCCTGCCTGAAACAAATACTTTGCAATCTGTGCACCAATGAATGACTTTCCCGTGCCTGCGTAAGGTTAATAGGAGGAAACGCATAGTAGACATGACGTGCTTACCTGGTGGCCCCTGTATAAGACTAATCGGTCTCGTGAGAGCATGAACCAACGACTCCAGTTGAGACTTGTCTACGCAAACATCTTCGTCCAGGGAAGCAGAGCCATCGTCCGTCAACGCGTTGTGGACCTCCACCAGTTCTCCGACGAAGTCTTGAAGCTCCGGCACCTGCTCAAAATTAAGGCTCTCCGCAGTAGGGTTGACGAGAAATTCTTGTAATGGTAGCTCGGCCGTTGCCTGGAGGCCCCTCAGCACGGGCTCGTAAGCAAATACCGGCGTATCTACCGGAGTGAATTGAATGCAGGCAGGGTTTGTTAGCCGTAAGGCCAACAGGGCTCGTCCAAGACTTCGACTATCTGTGAACTGCAGTGGGATGATAGGTGGCGACTGAGCTAAAAAGGTGATGTCCCTATTGAGGAAGGCGAACCCGATGACATCCTTACCGCGGCTAAGTGCTCCGAATGACTGATGACGAAGGAAGGCGGTTTCATTCCGAAAAAACCTTCTTCGGTCGTCTTCTCCCAGTCCATCGAGAACCTGGAAACCCTGGTGACACTGAAGGAGAAGGCAGCACTTTTTGTATCTGCCTCTTTCCTCGTCACCAAAGTCAAGTCCAACAGGAATAAGACCACTGAGAACCAGTGACTGACTGTTTCCTCTCCTTTTCCCGACTGTGACTTGTAGGTCCTCACGCAACTCGGCAAGCATGTCCTCCCGTAAAAGCCTGAACTGATTGTCTAGATGGACGGCAGCACGGGATTCTACGGGAGCATCAGCCACCTCCTTTGCAGTACGGTAGAAGGGTTGATGCATGGAGAGAAACTCGTCCTCGGTAGGGTAGATAAGAATATCCCTGAAAGAAGCAAAGTCGTTGTCGTGTCGGCCGCCTGCGCCGTTTTT